GGTTTTCCCGGGAGCTTTTCCTTTGGTCGGAGCGACCGTATCCTCGGCTGATCTTATCCTACCTTTTCCCGATCCTCCGACGATAATTGATCGACTCGCTTCGCGGCTGTCCTCTTTGGGGTTGCCGAGAGTCGTCCAGACGCGCTTCGCGCATGGAATCAGATTTCTGCTTCGATATTCCTCCTCGACGGGCAGGGAAATTTTGTTAAGGAAGGATCGTCTTTGTTAAATCTGAGAATCCTAGACGCAAAGTTTCAGCATAAAATCTCTGAAGTTGTGAAGACTGTGAAGACTTTCGTTGGATATTAATCCAATCATCGGTTCTGTTCGTTCCATCGACTTATATTTATCTCTTACATTTACTGTTAGTAAATATATCACTCGCCAATTAGTCTTCAGACCTGGTTAAGTGATTCTTCAGACGAGAGATTAACATTCGGAATTTTCCTCTGTATTCCGCTACTCCCGTTAACTGTCCGAAACACTGGGAAGATTCTCTCCGTCCGTCTGCGGAAAACTTTCTTCGTGAAGATACCGAGGGAAAGGGAACGGTGATAAAAGGGGAACACGTGAGAACGTTTCGTGCAGTTCGTCCGAAGAACCCCAAAGATAAGGACAGTCGGGACTCACGTCTCGAAGGAAACGGCTCCGAAACGCTGGTACAAGAGAAGCATCGCGCGCGTTGCATAAAAACGCGGCCGAAAGGTGCACGGAGGAATTCCGCTCCCGTGTTTCGTCGGAACCGAGTGCCTCGCTCGACTATCGCGGTGAATTATTCACCGGGAGCCCCGTGCTCAACGAGACTCGATATCGCGCGGCGATCATTACGCGGTTCACTCGTCTTTCTCCGGGAATCTCGGAGGAAATCTCGATTCGCCGGAAACGCGCGATGATCTCGGGGACGCCCCGATTTTATTCGAATCGTCGGGACGCGTTGAATGATTCATGGCGGTTTCGAGTATCTTCGGACGCGCTGATGTCTCTCGCGAGTAAATACGTCGAGCGAAAGTTTTCTTTTCTTCGGGAACGCTCGAAGGTGAACACGAAATTCGATTGTATTTTTTTTATCTGCAGTTCTGCGATTTTCGGGAGGTGTTTCTTCTGTTGCGGACGCGAGAAATTTTGTAGTTCAATTTTAAGAGACGTTGATTCGATAGGAGATTGAGAGCACTCGTTTCCACGATCGAGGACAGGAACTATCGATGCCAGCGTCGAAAGGACGGAGGCTCGTCGAGTGTCGATTACACGGTTGTACTCGGTTCTTCGATAAAATAATCTTTACCGACGGTTGACTTCTCCTCGTTTAAAGAGGAAAGACGTTTTTCGTGAAGTTGATCGAAGAGGAAGAGCAAAGATCCTCGAGTGGAAGCGGGCGACAGTAAATAACGCCCCGTTTGCCTTGGCAACGAGCGCGGAATGTATGCAACCCGCCTTGCTCCTGAGTAAATCACAGTTACCGCGGCCGCGGCCGACAAAATGGCCGCCAGAAGCCAGGCTACCGAACTGGAGTTATACAATCCGTGTAATCGCCGTCTACGAGTCGTTTCACGCTAGCGATTCGCGAAAGTTGTTATTTCTGTCTCAACAATCTTCATCCTTGTCGTTTCTTAACTATTTTTCGTATCCTCTTCGTAAATACTCATCTAATCACGAATATTCCGGTGTTAACTTTATACCCATAATCTCTACTGAAATTTTACTAAGACCAATTTCATTAAATTTCACTAATGTCCAGTGGTAAACAAATATTACTAGTCACAAAATCTCCATTACTCGAAATGCAATCCTAACTTCACTTTAATTCCCATTGTGTTTATTTAACATTTCAAGTGTCAACATCCAAAATCATAAATCCACATTGATGTTCTTGATCTACTAATCGCTGGCGTGAAAGAATGTAACGAAAGGACAGCATGCTTGACCAGTCTCCGAATATAACGCTGAACGATCGCGACTCGATGGAACGCATCACAAAGACACGAAAGACACACGAATTATTCTATTTATCCGATCATCCCCGATTCGACCACACGCAAATAGCACGCCGCTCAAGCATGCCGTTTAACAGTGTTTCTCTTTTGCGAACCGTTCACGACGCTTCTGGCACGGATACACGCCGAGCCGAGCTCTCGAGAAGGAGCCATCAGAAAGGTAAAGCAATCGTCGAGGACCATTTTTCTCCTGGCACCGAACAAAGAAAGAAAAAAAAACGAGTTTCTCGTCTTGAGAGCATCGGCAGAACACGCTCCGCGGATTGATTTCTTTTCGGATTGATTGGTTGACTGATTGATTGATTGACTGGCGTTGATCGACTGACTTGATTTTGATTGACTTTTCTTTTCTGATTCACGATTGTCTGGCATGCTGAACACATGCACCTAGAGTGCTTAATATCCCGACTTGTCCGATAATATGATGTCCTTTCTACTCTTCTCTCGCTCTTTCTCTCTTTTTCCTTATGATCCGTTGTAATCTCTTATAATCACTTCTATTTGACTCTGTGACTCTTGTTTCTCTATTGTTTCCTTCTATTTCTGTCTTTGTGTCTCTTTCAAGCTCTGTCTTTTCCTGTATTTCTCAGTTTTTCCCTGCGTTTTTTCGGTTCACGCCACGACGTGCGTACACCATCGAGGCTCTCCTTTTCATCGGAGATGATCTCTCTGCATACGTGTTCTGTTTTCTCCCCTTGAGAAGTTTCTTTCAGAGGTTCGTGGAGGGACCACGATCGCGTGGACGAGTGGCTGGCGGAATTTTGACGTCGTTCAGTCTCTTGTTGACAACAGGTTTCCATAGACTGCCATTCTTTACGAGTTAACGATTAAATTGAACGTCTCGAGTTACCGTTGAAGCAACAGCTGTATAAAATTAAACATAAGAATCAGGTGAAAAGAAGTCTCTAATTAATCAATGCAACGATAGAAGATCACTTCGAAGACGTCAAAATTTCCGCTTGGCTATTATGTTCGATCAGACCGACGCAACAACCAGAACATCTAAGTATTTCATTTAAAATTCAAATTTAAAATGGCCTCACCAATAATCGAGTTAAAAATAACTGTAACTCATTTATACTACACTTCTCTGACGAGAAAATATTCAGAGAAGCCACGATAAAAGATACATCGTGCAAAGTGTGAAAAGAATCCGTGCCCTCTCTGGTACGACAAGCTAAACTCGATTGCCAGCGCGGAATGCGGCCTACAGTCATTAAACAGGCGTCGCCTAATTGGAGCAAACCTCGCGCTCGTTTAATTGCGACGTTTAACGATCCCGTTGCCTAATACAGCGACGCGGGTTTCTAAAGACGTCGGCTTTCACTCGACTTTTTTGGAAACGATCCCGTGCAACGCGAGACACTTCTGGTTGCGTCGATCTCGATCGAAAGTCGCGCTATAGTCTGCTTCAAAAACTACTGGATTACCAAGGTCGCCGCTCCCTACGCATAATCGTATTCTCAAACTAAAGAAATAACAAAGCGTTTAAACAGAAACGATATAATACCTTCTGAAACACAGAAATTTCACGTAAGAGGTTAATACACAATATCCTTCGAAATACAAAAATACTAAAAGAAGCTGACCTTGAAAATCCACGACTATTTAGTTCACTAACCAAAGATGTCTGGTTTGAGGTACGTGTCATCGTTCAACCTCTCAAGGCGAAGTTTCACTAGTTTCCTTAGACTAGAAACAAACTCTCCTCCTCGATACTAACAGAAAACACATCCAGCTTACCAAACACATCGAACGGTGTGCCATTCTCCTCGCGTGTCGCGTCCCCGATGCAGTCTAGAGAGTTCGGAATCCCATGCGCGTACACTCGAACCAAACATCTTCTTAAATCCCCTCCGGAGACGCGCGGATCTCTCTCAGGTGCCTTTTGTTTGCCGAATTTACGTCGCCTCGAGGAGTCCTCCGAGAGCGTCTCCTCTCCCCGACCTTCTCTCTCTCTCTCTCCTCTCTGTTCGATTCCTCGACCAGTTGCTCTGCGATCGATGGACCGTTACGAACTGTTTACGAATCTAACGGAAACAATGCCGTTCGGATGGAACGGTTAACGGGACGACCGGATCTCGAACCGGTCCGAATTTCTGTGAATCGCCGCGCGAACGCGTCGCGTCCGCATAGAAATCCGCGGTCGAGCTATCAGCCAGTAACGCAACAGCGTCCTGAAAGGAGAGAGAAAGGGTCGAACCAAGGAAACCTACTTCCAGCCAGATTCATTGTCCCCCATTGTTCTCGAACTTCGTTCCAGTTTCGATTGTTTCCCGCGGCGGGGAACACAGTTTCCGGTCCACGCTCTTCAGAAATCGGTTCCTCTTCGGAGTAATTCCTTGCTAGGTCTACTCGCTGCGACCCGGACCAGCGAGCGACTCGTGTCTCTACGCCAAGGATACCCGTCCTCTCGGAATTCTAACTCTTTTCTTATTTCTCAATGCTTCCACCGTCTCTTCGTTGAGTCTTCTACTACTAATCTTCACTCGCACGAGCAAGCAAGCTTCTCAGCACGATCGAGAATCTACTAACCGCCCAAGCTTCTCCCGTCTGTCCTCCTCGATGTCCCAGAGTCAGCCTTGACGTCTTTAGGAATAATCTTCTCGTAGCTCGTCAAGATCGAACAGAATTCTCTGAGACGCTTCAGGAGCAGGTGAACAGAATTCTGTCGAATCGTTCGGAATCTGAGGATTCCCCTCGGCCGAGCGGAGGAACTCTCGGCGCTCCTTTCGATCCCAGACGTCTACCCGCGAAACGACGATCTTCCGCGATCCCTTCTGTGTGCTCTAATCTAGCCGTTCACTCGCAACTCCCGGACAGCCGACACCTCTAACCGCATCCACGCTGAATCCCCTCGGCCTAACCACCCCTAGACCCACCGCCAAACATCTCTCTTTCTCTTCTCTGTTTGTCTGTCCTGCGGGATTACACGATTTTTGCGTATTTGCCACTTTGCCCCCGTACCCCTGTTGCCGATCTCACTGAAAAACGCTCTGCGTGCTCCAGGTCGGAGCACGAAGAAGGGCGACGGCTCTCAGGTGAAGGAATCGACCGACAGCAGCACAACGATCGAGGACGATGACTTTAAAGGTAGGACACCCAATACCTCCTCTCTCTGAAAAGCTCTCTCAGTTCTCACTCTTTCTCTCTTTCTTCTCCCTGTTTCTCTCTGATTTTCTAGAATCTTCTTCCAGCATCCCTCTTCGCGCGTCCCGTGGTTCCCCGTAGAGGAATCCTCCTAAGATCCTTGGGATCGCCCAGGATCATTGCATCTAAAAAAAAAATATATATATATATACATACATATATATTATAACCGACGTCTGTGTCCATATTCCAGCGTCTTTTCTTTTAACACTTTCTTTCCGTTGTTTAACGCTGTTACGATGGAATTTAAATCAGCCGCCGGCTGCACCGAATCGGTGCGTCGCGATGGCCGCTTTCGTCGCGTGCACGACGATCGTCTTGTTATTAATCGCCGTCGGATCTCGCTGATCCACGCCGCTACGGCCGATTGAACGGCGCTTGTCGCGAATTGATATATGGAGTTCACGCTTGCAGATAATCGCGTTTCTGATGAATGACTCCTCGCGTCGGAGAGTCGACGGCGTGTGGATCTACAGGGTGTCGGGAGCCGAGATTTCGGGGATACCGATTTGTCACGTGAAATTTCGTTTAATCTCGACGAACTTTCAACTCATAGAGATGAACTTTCTCCTCGAACTTCAAACAAATGTAACTTCCGCGGAACTCAGGCTATTCCGAAAAATCTTGGACAATTCCTTCGACTCACCCTGTAGAAACTGAACAACTCCGGACACTGGACTAAAATAACCCTTCGCGCTCGAGAATTCCTCACTGAAAACATCCTGAATTTTCTTAACAGACCAGACATGAATTAACGAAACTTTCCTCGATATCCGACACATCAGACAATTCTCCCGCGTGAAATCAACCGACAATCGAGTCTCTCGAGTGCGAAGGGTTCAAACAACTATATCTGCACTCCATTCTCGACTCGTTGGAACTTCTTCGCAACGGAGGGAGGGGGGCGAAGCCGAGGAGTCTATCGGTCGAAGTTCCAACGAGTATACGCGTGCACGCGACGAGACCGAGCCCAGGGCTCCGTGAGTCGTTCGGAGGCCTATCTAGAGCAGTCGCTTTCGCAGCGGAGCAGGATCCGTCGACGGATCGAGCACCGAAAATTCTTCCAGACCGTTCGCACGCGGTCGAGTCGGGATTCACGCGGCGCGGCGCGTCCCGGGCGCAACGGGAAGAACATCTGTCCCCGTTCCCGACGGTCAGCTCGCCGTCGAACGTCGAAAGCTTTTGTTCTGCTCGTCGCGCTCGGGACGGTTCGATTCGCGTTCCGTTCGCCCTCGAATCGGAAACGACGATCGCGTCCGAGACACGGAACCCCGTGGACTCTGAGACCGATGGAGACTGAAAAATCGCGTATTCGCGAGGTTGACCGAGCCTCGATCGAAGCGCGATCTCCGAGGACGCGCGATCGCTCTTCGAGAGGATCTCGACGACCCCGTGGAGATCCACTTCGAGATCCGAGAATTTCGCTAGCCCGGTTTCGTCCCTTCGGGCGAACCCTTTCTCCCGGTGACCCTTAGACGCGAGCGCGTCGGTTTGCGCGCGCATATCGGCCTATTATTAGAGACATAGCATTGCTTTGTCCCCACCACACCCACAGCCCCCTTCAATCTGTCGCCCTATCTAGCCACGATCCGCCTTCTACTTGCGTACACCTGTCCACGGACCCTCGATCCTTATTTTATCCATCGATCGCAGGTGCGCAGGTTCTCTCCTGGCCGGCGGGGACCTCGTCAGCGCGGTTCGTTCTTGTAACGGAGAGTCTCGCTGCGACGGAAGTCGGAGCTGTATTTATAGCTGTAGTGGTATAATATTAAATATAATGTTAACACTAGGTTTACGGAACGCGTCAAGTTGACGCATATTGGATTTTAGAAATATTATTTTGTTCACGCCGATTTTGATTGATGCGATCACACTGGTACCCCAATTACCTACTGTCGAATCTCCAGTTTCCACGATCTAAATAAACGAGCATCAATTCTTTTAATAATAGAATGGAGTGTAGAATAAATGCCCGTAAACCTAGTGTTAATTCAGTGTTTAGATGCTTCGATGAACCTAGGGTAGACCGTAGCGTTGTCGCAAGTGATATTTCTCATTTGCAAAAGACGGACGAAGGAATTCCGCTCCGCTTTCAGCAAGAAACGCGGAATTAAAATACGTTTTTGCTACTTTATCGTTCGGTGTTCCTTGTAGTTTCGAGTCGTCCGGACGAGACGCGCTGACGAGACCCGCTCAGAAATTCAGAAGCGAGCCTGTGCACTCGCGGAACTGTCACGGAGGTCCGTCGATCGCGTCCCGCGCACGAGCGCGGCGCTTAAAGCCGTCGACGACTTCGCTCCCAACGGACTCGTGCACGTTTCACGTGGACGCGCGCTGCCGGCTAAAAATACGGGAACCGAGGACGTGCTCGCGTTTTTCACGGCGGACAGGTGCGACGAGAGGATGACCAAGACGAATCGATAGCGACATTCTGACGCAATCGTTCTGTATTAACCCTTTGCACTCCGAAGGTGCCTCTCGGTCACCAATTGATGTATCAAAATTGTAAAATTTCATATTTAACATTAAGTCTTGAGTAATCTGTCAATACGTGAAACGTAGAAATCAAACACCATTGTTCCCCTTGTTCTGTGAATAAATTCGCTAAGTTAGTTTAAAAAATGGCATCTACATCTCGTAAAAATAGATTGAATATTTCTAGTGACAAATTTCTGGAGTGCAAAGGGTTAAACAGGTCTTTTTCAATTTCTTCGAGTTATTATTTCGCGATGGGAATTCAAAATTTGCGAGAAGTTACGCGAAATACGATTATCAGTGATGTTTCGCGGCGGAAGTTCGAGGTCTGGGATGATTTGAGCTACAGAGTTCGAAATCTCAGTGACTCGAGCTAGAATGAGGTAACGATCGGTAGCTATTACAATTCCAAATATTTTCTTCCACTTGATTTAGAAAACGAAATTAATATCTGCACTAGACAGCGTCTACTCTATTTACATTCCGTTAGTTCACTCCGTGCATTTTTTCTCCCGATCGAATGAACCTCCGTGAATAGTTTCCCCAGGAAGTTCAGTTCGCAACGTAGAGCTTCACCCAGCGGATTCGCAACAAGAACAATTATCTCCCGCGAACCTGCCTTCTCCGCCTTACCGTAGTCGTTGGATGGCGCACTTTCGATCGTTCTCTCTCTGTTTTCCGAATTTATCGCGCCACAGTCTCCGAAACAGTCCGTAACGCGTTGAACACGTTGACTGCAGTGTCAGTCACTGATGACGCTGAATTAAAAACAATTGCAACGTATAAGACGATCAATATTAACCCTTTGCACTCGAGAGGCGCCTTTCAGTCATTTGATTTGACCGAAATGATAAAATTGAAAATTCAATATTAAATTTTATATAGCGTATCAGTACATGGAATATCGAAATAAAATTCACTCAATTTATACAAAGTATTTGTGTTAGTTGCGAAAAGTATCATTGATATTCCATCAGAGAACAATGAACATTTGTCGAGAAAAATATTCTCGAGTGCAAAGGGTTAAATAACAATCGAGTGATCGGTTTTAAAATTCAAAATATAAATAAACACGATTGAACGTACACGAACAGAAAAGTCGATTGATTCTTGAAATTCTAACAGAATTCCGTCGATTTTTATTGTCTGGTGCGCGTTGCATTGCTGCGCCGACTGCAGTTATTTACGAATCTAAATTTCAATTTGCGGAAACAGGAGACCCGCATTAAACTCGCAGTACGAGATATCGCAACGCTTTGTGCGCGATAAATACGTTACACGCGAATTAATTACTGCGACATTTCGTTCTGCTCTTTATTCTTGCAAAAACAAATTCGCGCGGTTGCGTGCTCGCAAAGATTCATTTGGTATTCTTCCAATTACGAAAAGTACTCGTGTCGCATTCAAATATTATAATTCAAAAGGCAATATACTATACAGGATCGAGACCAAATTTCCGTGTACCTCAAACATTCATTATCATAGGCGGGTTGTAACGAATTTGTTTTATAAACAATTCAGACTCGTTAAATAATTGAAAAACATATTCTTTCACTCGGCAGTTGGAATTCTCCTCGCGTACACTCGCGCAGCAGTATCGTTAAGGACCCTCGTTCGGCGCGGCCATTTTCTCGGATCGTAAAACATATTACTAGGCTGCTGAACATGAATTTCATGAATTTATAGCGTTCGAACATCATAAAACTCGCGCCGAGACGAAACTTCATTCCCTTCCGTTTGATTTTTCATTCGCTGCCGGCGTACATAAAATTCCTGGGCGTGATGGCAGTCGACATACAAATTCGCGTGAAGCTACTCACAGTGGCGTTCGGAAGTTTCCAGATCGTTTCTGGAATTGAGTCAAAAAACAAGCATTATCTTTTTTAAAAAATGTGTACAAAGAATACAGTGTTGTTTCTACAATCTGTTCCTTATATGTCATAACAAGTTCTCACAGCCTTCATTCTCTAAAAGTTCCAAAAACTAGGAAACTTTCGAACGCCACTGTATCTCAAACATAACAAAACCGGTGGTAGCCAATAAGAAACTAATAAACAATTACAATCTCAAAGTCTCAAACGCGAGTAAACGATCCACGTAACCAGAGAATCGATCGAAGGTGCCATTTCGAACCGTTGCACAACGCGGCTGCCTGGACAAAACTAATTCGACTATCCTCAAAATGATGTTCATGTCAAAAATAACAATTTGCTAATCAATTCCGTTTCTCTATATCTACAACGTTCGATTCGAAACCTAAAATACCGATTGTCATTCCAAAAGCTTCATAATACCTCTACTGTACCAAAAATGTAACAAAAGTGTAACCACTTTAGCTCTATATCTAACAACTTCCTAGCGCGTTTCGTTCGTATCACCGATACGTTCCAAGTGCCCGAATCTTGTCCAGAAAATGGCCGTCCGGCTGCATTGTGCGTCGGTGTCCATCCCGAAAGGGAGCCGTTCTG